TTTTTGAGATCCTTTATCTGTTGTAGCTTTGTCTTTTTTATACTTTTGTCAGGCATATTGCCCTGTAAATTGTGGTAGTGCTACCCGGAATAAAAAATTAAGAAATTTTTAATTTTTCAATATTTGTGTAGTTTAGTTTTTCTATATTTTAGTACAGAAACTTTAACAAAAGGCAGTTTTAAAGGTTTTAACCGTGAGTTAATAAGATCACTGTTAATTACTATTTTGTATGAATTTTGCCAAAGTTAGCTGTAAAGAAACACCTGCTGACTTGCAGTTTAAGGGGAATCTATTCTCCTCATTTCCAATTCATGATATGAACAGGTGCTGACAAGTAGAATAGATATTTGCATCTGCACTGTGTGTTTTAAATAAATAGGATTGGGTATTTAAATTAGCGTTCGTGAATTTAATAGCATTAAGATTGCCTTCAAATAAAAAAAAAAAAACTCAAAATTTAAAAAAAAAAAAAAAAACAATTAGGTCACTAAATCAAGCCAAAAGAATAAAAGATATTCAGCATGGTGGCTCATGCCTATAATCTTGCACTTTGTGAGGCTGAGGCAGGAGGATCAATTGAAACCGGAAGTTCAAGACCAGCCTGGACAACAAAGCAAGACCTTGTCTCTACAGATATATATATATATATATATATGTTGTGCATATATATGTTGTGCACTGCACTTGGCCATAATCACTAACTGTTAAGTATGATTTTTTTTCCATTTCCTGTCTGTGAAGAGTTCAGAAGTCATGAAAGGCTGGGAAAAACTGGCCTCATATATAATAGTAGGTGATTATACAATTTCTTCATTCAGGCCGGGCGCGGTGGCTCAAGCCTGTAATCCCAGCACTTTGGGAGGCCGAGGCGGGTGGATCACGAGGTCAAGAGATCGAGACCATCCTGGTCAACATGGTGAAACCCCGTCTCTACTAAAAATACAAAAAATTAGCTGGGCATGGTGGTGCGTGCCTGTAATCCCAGCTACTCAGGAGGCTGAGGCAGGAGAATTGCCTGAACCCAGGAGGCGGAGGTTGCAGTGAGCCGAGATCGTGCCATTGCACTCCAGCCTGGGTAACAAGAGGGAAACCCCCCCCAAAAAAAAAAAAAAAAAAAACAATTTATTCATTCATTATATTTAGCTCATTTAGCCCCAGAACTCCATAGGATTTAAAGAGTTAAAGAAAAGGAGAAAAAAAAAAGAGTAGACATCACCATACTCCTAACTCATTACCAGAGCAAATCAGTTGATATATTTTTGTAACAGATACCCAAATTATTTTATGAAAGAACACAAGGATGTCTCTGATATAAGAATATTCATAGAACCTACCTCCTGATGTCACTCTTACCAGTGCTTAATCCACAAGCTTCTTTATATTAACATTTAAATATTCTGTGAATGCATAGCTTGATTCCCTGATAAAATCAAAGACTTTGGGGAGGATAATAAAACTACTTTCTATGACTTTTAAAAACTTAATAGTGCCTAACATTATGAACTTAATAAACACTTCATAGCATTAGGGTCTCTGTAGGTATTTATACTTAAAAAATGCAATCATATTTGATTCTCTGGCAAGAGACGCTGTATTTTTCATTTTCTTAAAAATATATATATAATGAAAGACATTTTCTCAAATAGTTACTCTCTTTTAAAATACAACTGAAATTTACTTTTATATTCATTTCATAGTGACATGGTTTACTATTACTTCATTAACAAGGGCCAAGTGAAATATTTGCTTCCTGTGGCCAGGTGAGGTGGCTTATACCTGTTAGCTCAGCACTTTGGGAGGCTGGAGCAGCACGTCACCTGAGCCTAACAATTCAACCAGCCTGGGCAACTCTATAAAATATTTAAAAATTAGTCAGACATGATGGTGCATGCCTGGTCCCAGCTACTCAGAAAGCTGAGGCAAGATCAGTTAAGCCCAGGAAGCTGAAGCTTCAATGAGCCATGCTGGTGCCACTGCATTCCAGCCTGGGCAACAGAGCAAGACCCTGTCTCCAAAAAGAAATATTTGCTTCCTAGGAATTTACCTAATATTCTCTTGAAAGCATGATGTATTACAACACTAAAATTTCCTGTGATAACAAACCTATAAAATGTAAAGACCAAAAAAAAAAAAAAAGTAGTATTAATACAATGGAATTTTAAATGTTTGTTTCTTGAAAAGAGAAGAACCAAAATGTTACTGGTACCAGGATATCCCCTATAGCAATGTGGTCCCTGAGCATCCTGGGAGAACAAAGAGACAGATTATTCTGTTCAAAAATCTTAAAAGATTTTAATCAGTTTTGAGCCACCTGCCTACATTTTGTGGGCAAGGCTAAGGCATAACTCACAAAAACTTTCTGATTACATTTCCTTTTTTTTTTTTTTTTTTGAGTCGGTGTTTTGCTCTCGTTACCCAGGCTGGAGTGCAATGGCACAATCTTGGCTCACCACAACCTCCGTCTCCCAGGTTCAAGCGATTCTTCTGCCTCAGCTTCCCCAGTAGCTGGGATTATAGGAATGTGCCACCACCACGCCCAGCTAATTTTGTATTTTTAGTAGAGACAGAGGTTTCTCCATGTTGGTCAGGCTGGTCTTGAACTCCCAACCTCAGGTGATCCACCCGCCTTGCCGCACCTCCCCTTTGATTACATTTCTACTCATCTCTCACTTTGAGCAACCATACCCTCTTATCATCCCCTATCAGCATAATGACTCACACTGTGCCTTGCATGTTATCACTAGAGAGAGAATGTACTTGTAATAATCCAAAAACAAAATTAATGCATAATTCCAGGCCAGGCACAGTGACTCAAGCCTGTATTGCTTAAGCCCAGGAGATGAAAACAGTCTGGGCAATATAGCAAGACCCTTGTCTCTTTTTAATTTAAAATTAATATCAAAAAATAAAGTAGTGAGCCCAGTGCAGTGGCTCATGTCTGTAATCCCAGAACTTTGGGAGGCTGAGGCAGGCAGATCACCAGTAGTCGGGAGTCTGAGACCAGACTGACCAACATGGAAAAACCCTGTCTCTACTAAAAATAAAAAAAATTAACCAGGTGTGGTGGTGCATGCCTGTAATCCCACCTACTCAGGAGGCTGAGACAGGTGTATTGCTTGAACCTGGGAAGCAGAGGTTACAGCGAGCAAGATCATGCCACTGCACTCCAGCATGGGCAACAAAAGCGAAACTCTAGCTCAGAAAAAAAAGTAAATTTTTAAAAAATACAATATAATTCCAGACCAGAAAGAAACAAAACAAACAAAAGAAATTATTCCATTTACAACAGCATGAAAAATAAAATACTGTATTAGAAATAAACTTAACAAAAGATGTGCAAAATTTATACTCTGAAAACTACAACACATTGTTGATGGAAATTAAAGAAGGCCTAAATAAACTGAAAGATATTCCATTTCATGAATTGACTTAATATTGTTAATCGGCAATACTCCTCAGATTGCTCTACATATTCAACACAAACACCATCAAAATTGTAGTTGGCTTCTGTACAGATATTCACAAACTAATTCTATAATTCACATGGAAATCCAAGGGCACCAGAATAGCCAAAAATCTTTTAAAAAAAGAGCATAGTTGGAGGATTCACATTTCCCAATTTTAAAACTTACCACAAAGCCACAGTAATCAAGACAAGTGGCATTAGGAAAGACATACAGATCAATGGAATACAATTAGGAGTCCAGCCATAAATCCTTACAATTATGGTCAATTCATTTTTTTTTTTAATTGCATTTTAGGTTTTGGGGTACATGTGAAGAACATGCAAGATTGTTGCATAGGTACACACATGGCGGTGTGATTTGCTGCCTTCCTCCCCATCACCTATATCTGGCATTTCTCTCCATGCTCTCTCTCCCCAACTCCCCACCCCCCGCTATCCCTTCCCTATTTCCCCCCGACAGATCCCAGTGTGTGATGCTTCCCTTCCTGTGTCCACATGTTCTCACTGTTCAACACGCACCTATGAGTGAGAACATGTGGTGTTTGATTTTCTGTTCTTGTGTCAGTTTGCTGAGGATGATGGTTTCCAGATTCATCCATGTCCCTACAAAGGACACGAACTCATCGTTTTTTATGTCTGCATAATATTCCATGGTGTATATGTGCCACATTTTCCCTGTCCAGTCTATCATTGATGGGCATTTGGGTAGGTTCCAGTCTTTGCTATTGTAAATTGTGCTGCAATGAACATTCGTGCCCTTATAGTACAACGATTTATAATGCTTTGGATATATACCCAGTAATGGGATTGCTGGGTCAAATGGAATTTCTATTTCTAGGTCCTTGAGGAATCGCCACACTGTCTTCCACAACGGTTGAACTAATTTACAGTCCCACCAACAGTGTAAAAGTGTTCCTGTTTCTCCACATCCTCTCCAGCATCTGTTGTCTCCAGATTTTTTAATGATCGCCATTCTAACTGGCGTGAGATGGTATCTCAATGTCGTTTTGATTTGCATTTCTCTAATGACCAGTGATGATGAGCATTTTTTCATATGTTTGGTGGCCTCATGTATGTCTTCTTTTGTAAAGTGTCTGTTCATATCCTTTGCCCACTTTTGAAAGGGCTTCCTTGTTTTTTTCTTGTAAATCTGTTTTAGTTCTTTGTAGATTCTGGATATCAGCCCCTTGTCAGATGGGTAGACTGCAAAAATTTTTTCCCATTCTGTTGGTTGCCGATTCACTCTAACGACTGTTTCTTTCGCTGTGCAGAAGCTGTGGAGTTTGATTAGGTCCCATATGTCTATTTTGGCTTTTGTTGTCAATGCTTTTGGTATTTTGGTCATGAAGTCCTTGGCTACGCCTATGTCCTGAATGGTTTTGCCCAGATTTTCTTCTAGGGTTTTTATGGTGTTAGGTCTTATAGGTTTAAGTCTTTAATCCATCTTGAGTTAATTTTAGTGTAAGGTGTCAGGGAGGGGTCCAGTTTCTGCTTCTGTACATGGCTAGCCAGGGTCAATTCATTTTCAACAAGAGTGCCAAGAAAATTTAATGGGGAAAGAACAGTCTTTGAAACAAATGGCAAGAGACAACTGGATAACCACATGTGAAAGAATCAACTTGGACTTCTATCTCACAACGTATACAAAAACTAAATCAAAATGGATTAAAGGCCTAAATGAAAGGCCTGAAACTATAAAACTCCTAGAGAAAATACAGGAAGAAAGTTCATGACATTGGATTTGGCAATGAAGCACAGGCAACAGTAGACAAACTAGACTACATCAAATTTAAAAGACTTCAGTGTTGCAACAGAAAAAACAGAGTGAAAAGGCAACTATGGAAAGGACAGAATATCTGCAAATCACAAGTCTGACTGGGGACTTGTATCTAGAATATCTAAAGAACGCTTACAACTCAACAATAAAGACAAATAACCCAATTTAAAAATAGGCAAAGGATACACACAGACATTCCTCCAAAGACGTACAAATGACCAATAGCACATAAAAAGATACCCAACATCAATAGTTATCAACGAAATGCAAATCAAAACCAAAAGACATCACTTCTGTATTAACCATGTCTTTTATTTTCTGTATTCTGGCACTGGCATTTTTGCAGACTTCATGATGCTAGAGAGGCTGCTCCCTCGGCCCCCTCATTTCCCTCCACTCTCAGAACCCCCTCAGGTTTAGATAATTCCTAGAAATAACAAACGTGTCTGGGAGCATGCCTTTCATTTGCAAACCAACCAATCCAGAATCTAGGCCTCCAACCTCCTCCTTGAATGGGGTTCTCCCACTCCAGGGCACTATCCACCTGCCCTAATCACCCTAGGGCCAATTATCAGACAAACAGAGAAAGTCCCTATGCTTCAGAGCCTGCTGAAATTATTTAAACTAGCCAATCCTAAACCCGCTTACTATGCCTTGCACATTCCTTCTCATAGAATCCAAAATACACATATTGAACTCGAGTTGGAAGAGGTGAGTCCAGTCTCAAAATGGAGGGCCATGATCCAAAGGAACCAGAGCAGTTGAGAAAACTGTTTATTGGTAGTCTGAGCTTTGAAACTACAGATGATAGTTTAAGAGAACATTTTGAGAAATGGGGCACACTTACAGATTGTGTGGTAATGAGAAATCCCCAAACTAAACGTTCCAGGGGCTTTGGTTTTGTGACTTATTCTTGTGTTGAAGAGGTGGATGCAGCAATGTATGCTTGACCACACAAGGTTGATGGGCGTGTAGTGGAACCAAAGAGAGATGTTCCTAGAGAGGATTCTGTAAAGCCTGGTGCCCATCTAACAGTGAAGAAAATTTTTGTTGGTGGTATTAAAGAAGATACGGAAGAGTATAATTTGAGAGGCTACTTTGAAAAGTATGGTAAGACTGAAACCATAGAAGTTATGGAAGACAGGCGGAGTGGAAAAAAGAGAAGATTTGCTTTTGTAACTTTCGATGATCATGATACAGTTGATAAAATTGTTGTTCAGAAATACCATACTATTAATGGCCATAATTGTGAAGTGAAAAAGGCCCTTTCTAAACAAGAGATGCAGTCTGCTGGATCACAGAGAGGTTGTGGAGGTGGATCTGGCAATTTTATGGGTCGCGGAGGAAACTTTGGAGGTGGTGGAGGTAATTTTGCCCGTGGTGGAAACTTTGGTGGAAGAGGAGGTTATGGTGGTGGAGGTGGTGGCAGCAGAGGTAGTTATGGAGGAGGTGATGGTGGATATAATGGATTTCGTGATGGTGGCAACTGTGGCGGTAGTCCTGGTTATACTAGTAGAAGGGGCTATAGTGGTGGTGGACCAGGATATGGAAACCAAGGTGGTGGATATGGTGGCGGTGGTGGAGGATATGATGGTTACGGTGAAGGAGGAAATTTTGGTGGTGGTAACTATGGTGGTGATGGAAACTATAATGATTTTGGAAATTATAGTAGACAACAGCAATCAAATTATGGACCCATGAAAGGGGGTAGTTTTGGTGGAAGAAGCTCGGGCAGTCCCTATGGTGGTGGTTATGGATCTGGTGGTAGAAGTGGTGGATATGGTAGCAGAAGGTTCTAAAAGCAGCAGAAAAGGGCTACAGTTCTTAGCAGGAGTGAGAGCAAGGAGTTGTCAGGAAAGCTGCAGGTTACTTTTAGACAGTCGTCCCAAATGCATTAGAGGAACTGTAAAAATCTGCAACAGAAGGAGCGATGATCCACAGTCAGAAAAGTTACTGCAGCTTAAACAGGAAACCCTTCTTGTTCAGGACTGTCATAGCCACAGTTTGCAAAAAGTGCAGCTATTGATTAATGCAATGTAGTGTCAATTAGATGCACATTCCTGAGGTCTTTTATCTGTTGTAGCTTTGTCTTTTTCTTTTTCTTTTCATTACATCAGGTATATTGCCCTGTAAATTGTGGTAGTGGTACCAGGAATAAAAAATTAAGGAATTTTTAACTTTAAAAAAACAAAAAAAAGAATCCAAAATACAGGCTTTTTTCCACATTTCCCCCCTACTCCTGCTTCCTGACCAATCCTGCTGGCTCCCCATGTGGTCTCGGGTAGCAAGCCATACCTCCTGTTTCAAGAGCTCTAGGAGTATAATAAACTTCCTTCACAACATTTCCATCTCTACATGTCTTACTATACCTGATTAAAACAAATCCTGGACATTGTTAAAACAACTTCCCACTCACTACAATGGTTATAATAAAAAAGACAGGTATTCAATAATAACACATGTCAGTGAAGACGTGGAGAAATTGTAACCCTCATACAGTTCTAGTGGAAATATAAAATGGTGGAGCCACTTTGAGAAAAAATTTGGCACTTTCCCAAAAGGCTAAGTATTTCTGCCCACGTGTTTATATTCAAGACCCATCATATTACAAACTTACAGCTATTCAATTAAACCATATACTCTACTGCGTCCAAGTATACAGAAGTTGCAGATATTCAAGTTCCTGTTTATCATACACACAAAGAAAAAAAATCAACTATAAATTGATTATTTTGAGTGCACAGATATTCTAAGCCAAATATCCCATTGGTGGTTAAATTTCCAGTCTAGACAAAATGATGACAAATAATCATACTCAATAAACCAACTATATTTTTATATACTGTTATCTACCCTTGTATAAAAAAACTTAGTGAACTCCATACCTTTTTCTCTTTAGACTTCTGGCCAGTATGAGATGTGACATTCTCATTTTGGTGAACAAACTCTTGAGCTACAACTGTTTTTACAGGGTCCCCTTCAAAAACACAGTTTAGAAATTGCACTGTGTGTTCTAATGAATAGCTGTAGAAAATTTAAGAACAAACATAATGTCAGTAAATGAAAATAAGTTATGTGGAGACATTAACACAAGAATCTTCAAACATCTTACAAGAATATGAAAAACTGGCTTAAGTTAAATGCTTAACATGGTGTATCTCAAAAAAATAATCAAGAATGATCAGAAGGAAACAATCAAGTAATAGGTTCTCAAAAACTAATTTTCAAAAAATGAATACCAAAAGGTAATATTGATAATTCAACTGCTAATCTTGCTGTGCAGATTACCCACAACATATCTTTCATTTTATCACCTACTCTTCTTAAATCCTTTGTTGGATTCACACTTGGTTTCCCTCAAACAACAAACACAGGCAATAGATCTTTAAGTTGACATTTTTATTGTGCAAAATCCCGTTTACTTTTACCATGGGATTCTAGTCAAATTCTAAGTAAGGATATAGAAAATAAAAAGTAAAGCACTACCCTACCTCTCATGCCCGCATTATATAGTCGTATCTTGAGGGTGATACTATAGTATCTGTAGAATGAAATTCTACAAATTGACAAATGTCTGATACACTCATGTTCCAATATCTAAAGAAAATCATTCAAAAAAATTACATATGATTTTATGCTGCTCAGTATTTCACACTATTTATGTCTCTCACCTCTTCCATTGGCCAGATACTGAGGAACTGAGCACATACGAATATTTTTTGAAATTTGGTTAACTAGGCTGGGTGTGGTGGCTCATGCATGTTATCCCAGCGCTTTAGGAGGCTGAGGCAGGTGGATCATCTGAGGTCAGGAGTTCAAGATCAGCCTGGCCAACACGGTGAAACCCCATCTCTACTAAAAATATGAAAAAAATTAGCCAGACATCATGGCATGTGCCTGTAATCCCAGCTACTAAATGAATACCAAAAGGTAATATATTGATAATTCAATTGCTAATTCTTTGTTGTGCAGATTACCCATAACAAATCTTTCTTTCATTTTAGCACCTATTCTTCTTAAATCCTTTGTTGAATTCACACTTGGTTTCCTTGGACATTCTTAAAACAACTTTCCACTCACTACTAGAGTTATAATAAAAAAAAGACAGGTATTGGCTGGGCATGGTGGCTCACACCTGTAATCCAAGCACTTTGGAGGCCGAGGCAGGTGGATCACCTGAGGTCGGGAGTTCAAGATGAGCCTGACCCAACATGGTGAAACCCGTCTTTAAAAAATAAAAATAAAAAAAGAAGACAGGTATTAAATAATAACACGTGTCAATGAGGATGCGGAGAAATTGTCTCTACTAAAAATATGAGAAAAGTTAGCCAGGCATGGTGGCATGCGCCTGTAATCCCAGCTATTCAGGAGGCTAAAGCAGGAGAATCGCCTGAACCTGGGAGGCAGAGGTTGTAGTGAGCCAAGATAGTGCCACTGCACTCCAGCCTAAGCAACAAGAGCAAAACTCTGCCTCCAAAAAAAAAAAGAAAGAAAGAAAGAAATGTGGTTAACTAATTATCCAAAATAGTGTGGCATTTTGCTATTCTTCAGTTTATTAAAGACCACCTCTGAAGGGAAGCCATGTGCAACCACCAGTTCCACTTCAGCCCTCTCATCTTGCTGCGTCAGATATGCTCAACACAAAGGATATCAGTATCCAGAGGCTGGATGCTACCAACAATAAACCATATCTTTCCAGGCCTTAAAATCACCCACCTGCTCAAGGGGCTGGAAGTCAGTCTCTAGCTCTGATACTGTTTGAGGGTCACAGCCCTAAAAGATTACACCTCAAGCATATACTGTACTAAATGAGCCTACCCACTCGTCTTACCAGGATGAAGTTGAACCTGCTGCTAGCTGAGAAGATATCAGCAGACAAATGAAGGCAATCAGCCACCTAACATGAGGTGCTTGGCTGACCAATCACTGGCCATCCCCAGAAAGGACACACCAAGCCCCTCCTTCCCTGGGGAAGCACAACTCTGGGCTATTTCATCTCAGGCTCTTGCCCTAGGTACTCATTGAACAGGAGTGGCCATATGCTAGCATCACCCTCTGGCATCTGGGAGATTTTAACACAAAACCCTCAGAAAATAGCAAGTTAGGTAGCAAAAATAAGTAAGAAAATTAGAGATTGGAAAACTACCATTAAAGATTTGATTTAGGTGACATATTTAGAACTCTGCACACTCAACAGAGAATAAATATTAAGTACAGGCTGGGCTGGGAATGGTGGTTCACACCTGTAATCCCAGCACTTTGGAGGCCAAGGTGGAAGAATCCCTTGAGCTCAGGAGTTCAAGATCAGCCTGGACAACATGGTGAAACCCCGGCTCTACAAAAAAAATACAAAAAACTAGCCGGGCGTGGTGGCACGTGCCTGTAGTCCCAGCTACTTGGGAGGCTGAGGTGGGAAGATCACTTGAGCTTGGGAGGTCAAGGTTGCAATGAGCCAAGATCGTGCCACTGCACTCCAATCTGGGCAACAGCAAGACCCTGTCTCACACAAACACATACACCAAGAGAAATATATGTTGACTACTCCTCATCCGAAATACTTGGGATCCTAAGTCGCTGAGGTTTCCGATTTTTCTAAATTTTGGAATATCTGCATACACATAAAGAGATACCTTGGGAATGGGATCCAAGCCTAAACATAAAATTCACTTATGTTTTTATATGCCTTAAAAATTGGCCAGGCAAGGTGGCTCACACCTGTAATCCCAGCATTTTGGGAGGCCGAGGTAGGTGGATCACCTGGGGTCAGGAGTTTGAGACCAGCCTGGCCAACAAGGTGAAACCCTGTCTCTACTAAAAATGCAAAAATTATCTGGGTGTGTTGGTGCATGCCTGTAATCCCAGCTACTCAGGAGGCTGAGACAGGAGAACTGCTTGAACCTGGGAGGCAGAGGTTGCAGTGAGCCACAAAGGTGCCACTGCACTCCAATCTGGGCAACAGAGTAAGACTGTATCTCAAAAAAAAAAAAAAAAAAGAAAGAAATTCTAAATAGAAAATTAAAATTTGAGATTTAGAAAACAATGAAAATTAAAATATCATATATCCAAACCAAAACAATATAGAGAAAAATTCATACCTTAAATGTATGTTATTAAAGACTGAAAGGAAATTAACTAGCCAGAGTTGAAAATATGCTAACAAATTCTAAGAGAAAGATACCAGTAAAAATAAGCGATTAGAGAGCATAAAACAGACTTTGTCCAATAAACCAAGATCCTCTCCCTGAGAAAGCACAGGCCCAGAACCTTCAAGGTATGAAGCACAGAGAAAAACAGAGAAAAACAGCAGTCTGCCAGTTTATTTTATTAAGCCTAACACCAAATAAAACATTGAAACCAAAATCTGACACAAACAGCCCTGGAACAGAAAAAAAAATCACAGATCAACACCCTTTCATTACTATTGCAAAAATTCCAATGAACTAGTAAATCAATTCCTCCCTACATTAGAGGAAAAAAAACAAAAATCTGAAGGTAAAGTAGGTTTTATTACAGAAATCCATTATTGTCATTGATATGAAATATATTAATAAACTAAAGATCAAAATCTATATTAGATTCTCAAAAGATTCTCAAAAAGTATCTATTTAAAACAAACTTTTGTGAGGAATTTAAAAATACATGATCAAAAGTATATATTTTTCAAAGCAGAGCATTCCTCATATACCTAACTACAATAATTAAAACAATATGGTGGCAACTCAGGGTCTAACAAATAGCTCAATGGAATTGAAGTCCTTAAAAGAAAATATGTATTTAGGAATGCAGTAACCATTACTGGTTATGTTTTATACCAGTGGGCAAAGACAATCCATTCATTTGGTTAGGCATTTGGAAAAACAAGTTAAATCTCTAGCTCATTTATAAATCTCTACCTCATACCATACCACACACATAAGAAGTTAGATATTTAAATAATAAAGAAAATATTTTTATAATATTGGGACATAACAGACTCCCTAAATAAAACATACCACTCAGAAACAATAAAGACAAAGATTTTCTGTCCTGCAGCCAATCTCCCAGATACTGAAGGACAACTGTATTTTGAGACAGAGAGACCACATTTACTAATTTATATTACAGTATACTGTTAATAAGTGCTCTGTTTTATTGTTTGTTGTTGTTGTTAATCTTTTACTGTGGCTAATTTATAAATTAAA